GCACTCTCAGGGACAGGGGCTGCTCCGTCCCCAGACTCGCTGGTCTCCGTGCGGCCAGTCCCGGGGGGAGACGTGGGCCAGGGGGTCCCCTGGGGAGGGGGCCAGGCGGGGAGAAGTTGTTGCTTTAAAATTATACCCTCCACCTGGGCATGTGCCCTGAAGGGCAATTGAACTGTGACCTCTTGGTTCGTAGGTTGATGCTCAACCACTGAGCCACGCCGGCTGGGCTATGGCTGTCTGTTTTCAGTGAACAGCTCAACAGATTATAACAATTCGTTAAATTAAATCTGTATTTAATGATGCAGATAAGCACACTAAGTCCTGATATGGATGAAATGCCACCTAGGGTTTCTGATATGGGATTGTGCCGCATGATTTCATATGTGACGGTATGAACATAGGTGTTCCCTTCACCCCGGGGCAGAAGCAGGGTGTTACGAGGACCTGTGCCCGTCCTCAGTGACAGCTGCTGGCGGCAACCGCAGGCCGGACTCTGTGTGAGTCATTGCTTTGCTTTTAGTGCCTGACAAAGCCAGGCCCCGACACCCTAGCCCAGTGGTCGGCAAACTCATGAGTCAACAGAGCCAAATACCAACAGTACTTCTTCAAAATAGACTCGCCCAGGCCGACTTTGGCGCATGGGCCACGAAGTTTCAATCGCACTGTACGTGCGCCCGCACGTGGTATTTTGTGGAAGAGCCACACTCAAGGGGCCAAAGAGCCGCATGTGGCTCGTGAGCCGCAGTTTGCCGACCACGGCCCTATCCTTTCGTTTTGAAAAACGGAGTCGCGAGCACACATACAGTTGTGGGAGGGAAGGGCAGTGCTGCCTTTCCTTTGGGGATGAAGACTCCCAGGAGCGGGGGTTGGGGGGAGCTCAGGGTCTCGGGGACAAGGTCTGGCTTCACCTTCTCTGGGAGCCATAAGGGCCCTTCTGGGATTCTGGGGGGCCAGGTCATTAGTGAGCCCTGGACATCCAGGGTTCCCTGTGCTGGGGGGCCGTGTGAGTCAGGGGCCGGATGTCCTTTTTTTTTAAAAAAAAATATTGTTCTTGTTGAGAGAATTACAGATGCCCCCCATTGCCCCCCACTTTGTCCCCCTCCACTGGCTCCTGCCCCACCCTGGCCTTTACCGCACTATCGCCTGTGTCCATGGGCTGTGTGTGTGTGCATGTAAGTTCTCTGGTTAACCTCTCCCACCCGCTTTCGTCTGAGATCTGTCCATCTGTTCCATGCTTCTGTCTCTGGACCTATTTTTGGGGGGTTAATCCTCATCTGAGGATATTTTTTCCGTTGATTGAGAGAGAGAGAGAGAGAGAGAGAGAGAGAAACATCAATGCGAGAGAGACGCATTGATTGGTTCCCTCCCACATGTGTCCTGACTGGAGCTGGGAATCGAACCCGCAACCCTTTGGTGAGCGGGCCAGCGCTCTAACCACTAAGCACACCGGCCAGGGTTGGACCTACTTTGTTTTTTGTGACCTGTTTTGTTTGTCCGTTTATCTTATTTTAAAGTTATCCACTCTTTTAGTGGCTGCCTGTCTGCAATGAGCAATCCATTATTGGAGAGGGGACCCGAGTGGGTGTGTGCATCTCGCCGCCCGATGGTGGTGGGCACGTCTTTATTTATTGATTTATTAAATATATTTTATTGATTTTTTACAGAGAGGAAGGGAGAGGGATCGAGAGTTAGAAACATCAATGATGAGAGAGAAACATCGATCAGCTGCCTCCTGCACGCCCCCTACTGGGGATGTGCCTGCAACCAAGGTACATGCCCTTGGCCGGAATCGAACCTGGGACCCTTCAGTCTGCAGGCCGACGCTCTATCCACCGAGCCACACCGGCCAGGGCCGTGGTGGGAGCATCTTTAAACCCGCGCTGCCGATTGGCTGCTCTCCTGGCTGTGCGGTGCGGGAGGAGATGCCTCTGCCCTCCCCACACCCCTCCACCGCCTCCCGGAGAAGGAATGACATCTGCTTCCCCCGCAGGCGCGGAGGCTGCTGGACCTGGCCGCGGTGAAGGCCAACGGGCTGGCCGCCTTCCTCCTACAGCACGTGCGGGAGCTGCCGGACCCGCTGGCCCTCTCTCTCGAAGGTACATCCCTGTTTCTCTTAGTCCACCTGCCAGGGAGGACAGCGCTGTGCACTGCGTGGGTAAGAGCAGAGGCTGCAGCGTGCGGGACGTCCGTCAGAACCCCACCTCCTGGCTGGGGGGCTCCCTAAGACGCAGTGTCCTTCCTCATCCTGAGGGTGACTCCGCCCCCGTGTCATCGGGCTCTTGGGGGATGAGCAGGATCGATGCGGGCGATATCACTGTTATCGTATTAGCGCTTATCATTTCCGGAATGGCCAGGGGAGCTGCTGTGTGTGGGGGGCTGACTACCCACGCCCCTCACCAGCCGAGCCCTCATGAGGGGCGCCAAGGAGATACGGGCACACGTTGGCACAGGGCTGGTCTCTCCTAGAGTTTTAAATTTGCTTTTCAATCCCCGTTGACAGACAGTGGTGCCTGAGTTTCAGGTGTGCCCTGCAGTGATCAGACGTCCCCAGCCCTTACGTGGGGCTGGAACCTCTTGATCTCTGTGAGGCAGCCACTCACCCTCAAAACCTGAGAACAAATGGATTTAGATAAGATGGCAGCTCTCAGGGCACAGGCCACGGCCCCGCAGGCACCCTGCCCGGTGCTGTGTTCACGGTCTCCGTGTGGCTTCTCTGCTGTGCAGATGTGGAGCCTGGGGCGGCGGTGCAGAGCGGGCGGGCGAGGGTGGGTCTGGCTTTCGTCGGTGTGGGTCTCGTTTTGGAAGTTTGGCCATGGGTCAGGCATTCTTCTGAACTCCATTTGATCTCGTTTCCTCCTGAAACGATCTTTGAAGATGGGGATTGTTCCCATGTTCACAGATGAGACGACCGAGGCCACAAAAGTGGCTCGCCCAAGCTCGGGGTGGGGGTTGGGGACCCAGGCTTCCAGGTCTCAAGCTCAGGTGTGTCTGACTTCAGAAATCAGGCTGCTCAGCCCTCACACCTTCTGCTTCCCCTTAGAAAGACCCCGCTGAGCCGAGTGATCCAGCTGGGCTGGGTGGTGCAGCGACTCCCCTAGTCTGCTTGGGGTTCGAATGCAGGCCCCCCTTACCCCCATCCTCCTCCTCCACTTCCTCCTCTTTTTAATCCTCACTCCAGAATATTTTCCCCATTACTTTTTAGAGAGAGAGGAAGGGAGGGGAGGAGGGAGGGGGAGAGAAAGAGAGAAACATTGATGTGAGAGAGACACATCGATTGACTGCCTCCTGCCTGACCCCAGGCAGGGATCTAACTGGCAACCCAGGTACATGCCCTTGACCAGGAATTGAACCCATGACCTCTCGGTGCTTGGGCCGGCGCTCTAACCCTTGAGCCACACCGGCCAGGGCACGACGCGGGCCTTCTGACCCAGCCGAGCACTCCTCCTCGGCCGCTCTCCCCGATGTCATTGGTAATGAGGGCACTGACGGGGGGTCTTTCAAGCACTTGTTTTGTGTCCAGCGCTGCCTGAAGGTCTTGACCTGAAGTATCTTCACGGATCCACATAAAAACCCTCGGAGGCAGGGACCATGGCCGCCTCTCCCACTTCCCAGGGGGGTAAACCGCGGGCGAGGAAGGTGGGGTGACCGTCCTCCAAGCCCACGGCTTGTGGCTGAAGAGCCCGCTGGCTCTTGTCTCCCACGTGTGAGGCCACCTGTCAGGCCGCCCCGCCCCACGCAGCCCCCCCTCCGCTCAGGTGCC